TTAACAAAAAGATGGGCACAGGGCTTGGACAGTACACCAAAGAGGATATTCAAATGGTCAACAAGCACATGAAAAGACGTTCACCAGCATTAGCCCCTGTCAACGGCGTTGTTAAGTGCAGTCAAGTCGGTGTTAACTCAAAGCCACTTGTATAGAGCTCGGAGGAGCAGCTGGCGGGTTTGAAACACCAACCTCGCGATTAGCAATCCAGTGCTTATCATGCAGCGCCACACGTGGACTCTGCATTAGCCGCTGTTGGTGTTAAATGCCACTGAATCAGTGTGACTCACAGCAACCTTGAATAGGGTTTCCGAGGAGTGGCTGCTAAGTGTGAACCGTCATACTTGTTGTTCAAACAGACCTTGCAGGCCAGTGTTTCTCCAGTGCTAGACCAGGACTTGCATTAGCCATTAGGAGACAGAAACGAAAACCATGGAGCTAGCACCTCAACCCATTCAGATGACAATGACAGAAACAGAAGTACAAGTGTGTGAGGCTCTGGAGAAACTGGAACCTTCATTGTTACTGCAGGAAACGTAAAATGGGAAGCCGCGAGACATCTGGTGGTTCCTCAAAATGCTGAACACATATCTATCACATGACCTACCAATCCCAACCCGAGGTTATAGTCCCAGAAAAAGCAAAGGCCAAAACATAAATAGATATTGGTAAACGTCTGCTCACGGCAGCATTTTCACAAAAGTCAAAAGAAGGAAACAACCTAAATGGCCATCAACAAATGAATGGATGAGCAAACTGCGGCCTATGTGCACATAAAATGGGGTATGGTGCCGCTGTTCAGAAGAATGAAGTTCTAGTGAGTCCAACATGGATGACCCCTGAAAACATCATGCAGAGTAAAATACATCAGTTGTAAAACAACTAATAAAGCATCAGCTCACTTCAGTTATAAAAGCAAATATAAGAAAGCAATGATAATTCAGAGCTACAGGAAGTTGGAGGAGGCCTTCTGTCTGGGGAACATTTACGTTTCTCTTAATGACAGTGTAATGTTTTCAATGAAAATAGCAACTGGAGCACATGAAAAATGTGAAAAATGTCATTGATTTGTAAATATGGATGTTATATTGTGGATGTTTGGTATATGTATTTTCAACAAAAGAAGAAAATGCCTTTCTTTTTGATGTGGAGTTTGTCATAGGAGTTTAAATGAGAGGAAATATGGGACATGTTTGTGGTTTATCAACAAAGTAATTTCAAAAGCTAACATTTCTCATAACATTTTAGACATTTTAAAAACAATGAAGAGCTACCACTGGTTCTAACAGGGTATACCTAGGTCCTAAGATTAATTCAGATATTCTCATAAATTTGAAGTCAGCTCTTTTTCATGACTAATAGACCGGTCTACGGGGTAAAAAAAAAAAAAAGTATTTTGTTCATGGATATTTAACCTATAAATTAGAATCAAGGTTCCATTATCCAGTAAAGTAAGTACTAGTTAATGTAATAATCTAGAGTCGGAGTGAAGAAAAGTAGAAAAAAATTTAATTATCTGGTCATTTACAAAGGTCTGTTTCCTCAATCAAGTAAAAGGATTTTCAGATAGTATATAGAAAACCAGAAAGACCATAAATTTGAGTATGAGTAAAAATTAAAAAGCTGGCTCTTTTTTGAAAATTTTATCAGGTGAAAATAGGAATAGTTGGCTTCAAATTTCTGGTGTGTGAGTTGAGAAAATTACTCTAATTTAAAATACTAACCTTTCAACATTACAGATTTAAAGAAAAATATATTAGCAGAATGAAAGATGCAATACACAACATTTATGCAACAGTTAAGTCCTCAAGAGGAAAATCCTGATCATTCTAGACCAAGCTTACTGCTGAATTCTTCTAAATTTCACTACTATACAAAAAAAAACAAACAAGACTTTTGACTTTGTCAAGAAAGTATAAGGCAAATATTACAAAATTCAAGAAATGGCTCGTGTATTTTCAACAAGAAGCATACTTAAATTTGCAGGAAAAGCGAATGTGAATATGTCAAAAATGTTTCCTTCTACAAGACGGTTTCTATTTTAGTTTCTGAACACTGACTCTGAAACAGGTCCATCAATTTTTCCCCAAAAATAATCTTATGAAAAACCAAACACATAGTAGATACACACAGTATCTATGATATCTCATCATACTAAATTAACACCAAGTTGTACTTGGGTTATACATACTTGAAGGTACGAAAGTATCTTGTTGTGCCTCAATTTACCCAGATGACCACTCAAGACTCTCAGGATTGATAAGGAAGCCTTTATTAGCTAGCCAGCGACTACAGCGTCCCTAAAAGCTGAAAAACTGCAGCCCCGACCCAGTTTTTATACATAAGCAGTGTGACATTATCTTGTATAAACCAAGGGTATGATGTGTGCATGAGCTGTTAGAGTGGGGGCTAGGAGTACATCAGCTGGGACGGTTACTTCTCAAGATTAACTTGGAGTCAGGGGAACATCTGCTGAGACAGTTAGTTTTCAAGATAAACTTTGGTGGACTATTCTCAAGGTCAGCCTTGGCGCCTGGCCACAGTATCCTGTGAGTCAGGTGGGCCCACTCAGATGTGAGGAATGTGCATATGCAGTGTTACAGAAGCCAAGTTCAGCCAGAGTTAAGGGGGAAGGGGGCTTCTGAATCCAAGGGAATTGTTGATGCTAAACATTTTCACACTTCAGCCTGATCGTTTCTTAAACATTAGTTACTATCAGACAATTGGGCCTTATTTCACTGAAAGACAAAAAGATGTTGCATGACATTATTTTCTATCATTGACTTTGTCATCTTTTTCTGATTCTATGTCATATGTAAGCATTGCTATTCTGTGGTTCTTGCCTTTGCTTGTTTTAATAGTTTGACATAAATGGCTTCTCAGACTCTGAGACTGATGAAGGTGTTACGTAGTGTTGGCTTCTATAATTGAGGTCAGTAACAACAATAAAAAAGGGGAAAAAAACCCAGAAAACTTGTTGCCATTGAATTGATCTGACTCCTGGTAGCCTCCAGTGTGTCAGAGGAATGTCTGCTGCAAAGTTTCAATATTTGATTTTCCAGTACCTTTCTTCCAAAGGGCCTTTCGTTGGACTTCAAGGACCAACTTTCTGTTAGTAGCCAAGCATGTTAACTGTTTACCACCAACTCCTTATATGTGCCAACAGACAAGGGAAAACACAATGTGGAATTACTACATAGACTACATGTATAGCAATGTTGTCGCCTGGTGCCATTCAGACGATTTTGACTCACAATAACCCCATGTGGACGAGTGGAACTACCCCACAGGATTTCTAGGATGAGCTTTACCGAACTACCAACCTCTTGGCTAGCAGTCAAGCACCTAAGCATTGTGCAGCCAGGATTCCTTTATTTACCAATAAATCTTCTTGCCCTATTATTGTAATAGCATTCCTAAAGTAGAAAATTTAGTGGCACATGGCGTCCTGAAAGACAACAGAGGCACTATAAGGCTTATGTATTTCATATTAAATTATCATTACCACTATAAAATATGACACACAGTATGTGACATTGGAAAATACACCATAAAACCACTAAGAAATTTATTAAATATTTCAATGATTCTGTTTACTCATATATTTTTAAAGCTTCATACTTCAGAGTGGAAGTCTGTCAACCAGTAAGAACTGGGTGTTTTTGGAACCCACACCAATAAAAAGTACATTGGTTTTCCTTATAGCATTATCTACAAGGGAATATGTTTCCAGTATCTTTAAACTGTACCGTTTCTTCACTATGTAAAGTCTCCAAAATATAATAGAGCTGGATTACTTATTGATTGAGCATTTCCACATAGAATTTCATTCCTGTGGGCATTTTCTGGTGTACAAAAGACGGTCCCTCACTTTCAGTGTTATTGTTTATAACAGTGTGTGTGGGGGGGTCCCAACAGCTAATATAACATGACCTCTCGAAAGCTTTCTGATGAAGTCACAGGATTGAAAGTATTTCTCTTCATGATGAAGTGTCCATTATATGAACTTTGATAATATGGGGAAGTTTTTAAAATCCAGGGCATTTGCAGGTTCATGCTACTCTTGAATTCTACTATTCAGTATATTTAGCAGCTGAAACCAACATAATGTCACTCCTACAGCTGTTAACATTGTGTAACTGTTCTCTGAAAAACTTACAACTGCACCTTCAATGAAGTCTGATCTCTGTAAAAGACTCGTATTAGTTGTATTCCTAGGGTTTCCTTTTTGTATGAGTTCTCTGATGATTAATGAGTTGTGACTTTTGAGAAAAGGCTTTGAGGCACTCACTGCATTGATAAGGTTTCTCTCCTGTATGAATTCTCTGATGATTAACAAGCTGTGACTTCTGAGAGAAGGCCTTCCTACATACACTGCACCCATAAGGCTTCTCACCTGTGTGAGTCCTCTGATGTGGTATGAGGTGTGACTTCCGAGAAAAAGCTTTGCCACATTCCCGGCATTCAAAAGGTTTCTCTCCTGTATGTATTCTCTGATGATTAATGAGACTTGACTTCTCCCTAAAAGCTTTCTTACATTCACTGCATTCATAAGGTTTTTCTCCTGTATGAGTTCTCTGGTGTCGGATTAGTTCTGATTTCTCAAAGAAAGCTTTCCCACAAAAACTGCACTCAAAGGGTTTTTCACCCGTGTGAATTCTCTGGTGAGTGTTGAGCTGTGACTTCTGGGAGAAGGCTTTATCACAGTCTCTGCATTCGTAGGGTTTTTCTCCTGTGTGAGTTCTCTGGTGAGTGGCAAGACTTGACTTCTCACCAAAGGCTTTTCCACATTCACCACATTCATAGGGTTTCTCTCCTGTATGAGTCCTTTGATGGGATATGAGATGGGACTTCTGACAAAAGGCCTTCCCACACTCGCTGCATACATAAGGCTTTTCTCCTGTGTGGATTCTCTGATGATTTGTGAGACTTAATTTTTCACTGAAAGCTTTGCCACACTCACTGCATTCGTAAGGCTTTTCTCCTGTGTGGGTTCTCTGATGTCGAACAAGCTGCGATTTCCTGCTGAAAGCTTTCCCACATTTACTGCACACAAACGGTTTCTCTCCTGTGTGAGTCATCTGATGGGATATGAGATGTGACTTCTGAGAGAAAGCTTTTCCACACTGAAGGCAGCCATGGGGTTTCTCTCCTGTATGGGTTCTCTGATGGTTGATAAGACTTGACCTTTCTCTAAATGCTTTTCTACATTCATTGCATTGATACGGTTTCTCTCCAGTATGTATTGTCTGATGTCTAATGAGCTCAGACTTCTCAAAGAAGGCTTTTCTACAATCACTACATCCAAAGGGTTTCGTTCCTGTGTGAGTCCTGTGATGTGTAATGAGTTGGGACTTCCTGCTGAAAGCTTTCCCACACTCCCTACATTTAAAAGGTTTCTCTCCGGTATGAATTCTTTGGTGATTGATGAGGTTTGACTTTTCACTGAAGGCTCTCCCACATTCACTGCATTCATAGGGTTTTTCTCCTGTGTGTGTCCTCCAATGTGATATGAGATGAGACTTCCGGGAGAAAGCTTTTCCACACTCACCACATTCGTAGGGTTTCTCTCCTGTGTGTGTCCTCTGATGGGATGTGAGCTGTGATTTCTGGGAGAAGGCTTTTCCACACTGGCTACAATCAAAGGGTTTCTCTCCTGTAGGAGTTCTGTGATGTGTCATGCAGTGAGGCTTCGGGGGTAAAGTTTTGCCACATTTACCACAGCCATAGGCTATTTCTCTTATATGTCTACTCTGATGTTTGATGAGACTTGATTTTTTGCTAAAGCGTTTCCTACATTCACAGCATTCATAAAGTTTCTCCCCTAAACGAGTTCTGTGATAGATGACAATCTGTGATTTCTTGTAGCTAATTTTATCATATTTTTCACATTCATAGTATTTCAACCAAGTGTCAGTTTCCTCAGGCTTGGTCTGGAGAAATAATTTATCAAATACATTAAAGTCATCTCTGTCTATTTTTTCACAATCAGTTTTGGGAATAAGTAAATCTAAATGATGTTTCAAAATTATTCCATCTAAGTCACCATTAATGTGTGATTTCCTTACAGGGATAAGGTTCATGCTCAGATTGAATTTTTTTCCACACACTTCATACCCATGACCTCTTTTCGTATTTTTCAGCTTGTCTTGGTTATGCTGATGCCACAGCACGTGACCATCTACTTGCCAGACTTCTTCTATAAAGAAAACAAACAAACAAAATCTGTGAGATTTTCTAAGGCTATTACTTACTGAACAACAGACAATAAACGCTGTGCTGAGGGGCAGACTACCGTTTGAACTTAGCTTCAGAGACGGAGAGAAGTGCCAATCATAAAGTCTACGCTCTAGGCACTACAAATTAAATACAGAAACAGGAAACTAACAGTATACTAAAGTACCTTTGGCTACTGATTAATATGACTGGGAAAGTGTTAAAAATAAATGAGAACAATGAAAACAAAAAAGGCTGGAAGAAGCATTAATTCAGTGTTCTGAGGGATTTACCTCACTCATTCATCAATACCCACTGAGTGCCTGCTATGTTCTAACCAGCGTGTGTGACATATAAAACAGAGTCATAACCCCTACAATAACGACACTGACCGTCTAGGGGAAAGAAAAAGAACAAACAGGTAATATTTAACACAGCAACTGTGAACAGATCTGACAGCATAATTAGTCAAACTCATTTAAAGTTGAAAGGATTACAAATACCTTGTGTACACTTACACTTGGATTTCAATAGGATTATCAAGAAAGTAACCTTATGCAATGCATTTCCCAAATATGTCATATTCATCTAAACTGTTCAGGTACAGAACTTAAAAAACCCATGATGAGCTGTGACTAAAAATATTCCAAGGCTCCAGGTGTTGTTGTAGTGTGCCTTCGAGTCAGTTTGGATACACAGAGACCCTGTATGGGATTTCTGAGAAGCGGCTGGAGGGTTTGAATCACAGTCCTTGGGGTTAGCAGTCCAGTGCCTACCCTACAGGGTCATCCCAGGATCCAAGAAGTCATTCTTAAAATATCCTGACAGTTTAACTGTTATTGATTATACAGTGCTGTTTTCTTTCTCCTAATTACCCACTTATTATTTTATGTATTCTTTAAAAATGGTTTGTCTTTTCAATGCACGTACACACACCACTGCCCACATTGTTGACACTCTGTTGAAGAATCCTCCCTATTGTCCTGATCTTGCTCCACTGAACTTTCACCTGTTTGGTCACCTGAAAGAAGTCCTTTAAAATTCAGCTCTGATGAAGAAGTGAAGACAGCCGTGCATTTGTGGTTTTCGGCTCAGTCTAAAACATTTTTAAATAAGGAAATACTAAAGCTTGTTGACAGACAAAGTGTATTGAAGAGCAAGAAAATCATGTCAAACAGTGATGACGTATTTGTCTTTACTGTATGTTTATTAAAATAAATTCTGCAGCCAAAAAGAGTATATACCACGAGATGGAGGATATGTTGAGAAACCATAGGTTCACATCATTATATTTCTGTTTAATAAAGGTTTCTGTGATTTTATGAGGGGGGAGGCTTGTCTTTTGATAAGAATTTATTATCTGGAATTTTTTTGTGAGGTCAAAGCCACATGTGTGACTGAGAATCAATAATGTGAAAGCCTTCGAGTGATTTAAATGCTAATTCAAAAAAACAAAAATGAGGAAAAACCCAGAGTACAATGTTGACAATATATGGTATTTCAGAGGTAGATTTGCTGATGGATTTGATGAAAAGGAAATAATGGAAAGGAAGGAATGAAAAATGACTAGATTTGGTGTTTTAGCTATTCAGTGGATGATGATGTTAATTATCAAGCTGAGCAAGGGTAAGGGAGAAAAACATTTACAGGTTAAAATTAAGACTCCATTATAGACATATTAATTTGACATGTATTTGAAAAGGTTTGAATAAAATGGTTTCAAGGAATGTGAAAGTAGGAAAAAGAGCATTTGTAAATTAAACTAAGATTTTATCATACTATAAATGCTATCACATTACTATCCTAAATACACATTTCAGAGTGTCATCTACATTCCCCATGAAGTCCTCATGAAGACTTGCAAAGCAGATGTACCCAGTGCAACATGTTATTTCATTTCTTGAGTACAGCCTGCATGAATGGTGATTATGAACCCAAGCAAAATTAAGTCCTTGACAACTTCAAACTTTTCTCCACTTATTATGATGTTATTTATTGGTCAAGTTGTGAAGGATTTCTGTTTTCCTTTACATGGAGGTGCAATCCACCCTGAAGGCTATGGTCTTTGATCTTCAACAGTAATTATTTTAAATAAGTATTTTCTAACTTGCTCCTTTTTGAGTGCTTCCACTAGAAAGTTAGCTGTAAGAGGGCATGGCTATCCTCACTAACATTCACTATAGTACGCACAGCATTCAGAACTGCGACTAAGAAATACAAAAAGAATAACTTACTGTTTTCTGAATTGCAAAAGCAATCTCGGAAAAAATGTGTCACCAGCAAGCCTGAGACTGATTGCTTTAGAAAGGCCTGCTAGCCACAAGGGTCGTTGGCTAGTGTCTAGAAACTTGCACTGTCTAAAGTTCCAACTATTCCCAACTTAGGCTGGATCCCTGTGCCTGATGTGTCTGCATTGACTCTCTGTTGGATATCTACTTTCTTCTGAAAGACTGGACTTTTGTCATGGGCTAGACAGAAAGTGCCTATGAGCATACCCAATAAACAACTTGGGGTCTAAAAGGCTAAGAAAAAACATAATATATAATTTTATATATCTGTGTATGTGGCACTGTAGGATAAAGCACTGTACCACAAGGTCACACTGAACCAGAGGGTGGCGGCTCAAACTCACCAGTTGCTCCTGGGTATGAGTATGACCCTATAAGGTAGCTATGAGTAGGGACCAACTCGAAGGCATCTAACACCATGTATATGTATATATATACATCTACCGCTCAGCTGACGGTTTGTGGTAACATCATATATATATACATCCACCGCTCAGCTGACGGTTTGTGGTAACACCATATATATACATCCACCGCTCAGCTGACGGTTTGTGGTAACACCATATATA